GACTCGTTCCCCATTTGGGCCAACGTCACTGGTGTGTGAGCCTGGTTCCACCATAGGAGATGATCCACGCACACCCTACCCACAGGTGCCAGATGAAGACCTCTGGTCAGAGCAACAGCATAGGACCGTACAATTGTGTGTCCGATTGCTGTTTGGATACAAGCCTCTCAAGGCTTTTTTTCTTTGACACCTGATCATTGCTTGTGAAAGAAAGTGGGGATGGATATGGTTTGGAATGGAAGAAGAATGGTTGAAGAATTAGCTGTTTTTTCAATTTACATAGATCCTATTGCAGTTCCAGAACTTTAAAGAAAGACCTCTGATGTTGATAAAATAGTATGATAGATATACTGTCAGTATTCATATTCTTAAACAATGAGTCATTCTTCTAAGCAGCCGGTTCTAGACATTATTCAAGTCAGCTCTTTTTATCAAAGGAAATTTAAGCAGCAGCTCATAAGGTCAAAAATGACAGTCACACGTAGCCACGACCTAATGGCATTAAGCCATACTGTGTAATATAAGAACATTCAGAACATTCACACAATTCTGAAACTTTAGTACAAATTTCAGGTACTTGTGCCTTACTAAAGAATTTACATTTTAGGCCGTTTTCTCTTTTACTTCATTACATTTCAGAGGGAACTGTTGCTCTTCATACATTTATCTGACAGTAACTGTCATAGTAAGATTTTGCATTTGAAATGTCATGCTTTTGTTGTAGATTGAACTACCTAACTGCATAGAAAGTTGTTATAATTATCCTCACTTCAGCCAGACACTAATCCTGCTGACATATTAATACATGAATAATCCACTGATGTTACAAGGACAGTTCTGCTAAACTATGCAAGAACTTGTATCTTTTGCTACATTTTGTGTATCAATATTTCTCAATTGAAATATCAAATACCAGATTTTTACTTGCAATGGACTATTTAAAAAAATTTTTATACATTTTTCTACTACTTTTATTTAAGTAAAATGTTTGAGCACTTCTTCCACCATCACTTTTGAGTACTTAGAATTGTGAGTTAGTATTTGAGTTTGGTAGTAATGTGCTAATATGTATAGTATAGCAGAGACCTGACATAAGTAAACATGCCCACTTACATCCAAATCAACTCGCTTACCTATATATATTTACAAAATTTATTGAATTTGGAATGTAACACTCTGCAAAAGCAATAAACCTTAGTGTGCCTTGTACATAATGTACAACATACTGTACTGTAAACACATTTTCAATATTTCAGTCAGTATAGTATGTGATGGCATAGCTTATAGTAATGAATTCTGTCTGAAGTGCAACAAAGTGGTATTTAATTATCTTCGTAATGCGATCAGCGTTTCTTTATTTGAGACTTTTTCACATGTGAAATGATGAATAAAATGTCTTCTCTTTCTAAACAGCCAGTGGATTGAATTAATCCATTTTTCACTGGCTTCTGACAAACTATAAAAATAAAAGACGTGATTTTTGATGTAATGAATTCTAATGTTTCTTTCTTGTTACATCACTTCTGCATACAGTGGTTTAATAACACTGAGAGAACACAGCATTCATTAATTTTTCCATATATGGTGTTATTTATCAAAAATGGGGGGACAGAGCGATGGTTACAGTGTTAAAAAGATGAACTGTTCAGTCTTTCAAGTCACGCACACAGTATGTTCAAATTCTACAAAAGCATGTCTTAAAGTTACAGGTTTTATGGCAAGATCTTAATCGTTTCCAATAATGGCCTGTTATAGACATTTTAACAGTGAGCATGCTTTAATAAAGCACAGTCAGCGCTCACTGTTGTCCTAAACAAAATGACCCCACTTTCATCACCAGTTGACTCTTTCTCAACTTCTGTTAGGGTGATTTTCATTTTTAGATAGAAATGAATAATTAGTTAGGGTTTTATTATATAGCATACATAAGTTTATATATTTTACTCTCACAGTTGTGTTTATGTTTATGTAGTTACATATCACCTTAAGTCTGCATTGAATCACTGGTCAGTATTCTCTGTATAAGCCAACTGGAGCACTGTTTAACATCAAGGAGACTGGTTCACGCACTTTTATTGTCTTGCATTACTTGCGCCATAAACATTATGGGCTCGAAGATTTTTTACAACTCACCATTAGGTATCCTCCGTTGAATGATGAGCTTTTGTCTTGCTGTGAAACATAATTCTCACTGTGGTGAGTCATACTCATTAGGCTATAGTAAAGTTTCATCTAAAGACCCCAGAGAATGTTATTAGAACTTAATAAGTATCAATCAATCATCATAATGAGAACTGTTTCACAGCAAGACAAAAGCTCATCATTAAACATACAGTAAGATATACTGTATACAGCATACAGTATGGCACATGTCACACCAAATCATGTTGGGGGTATGGTGTGACAGTGGAAAACACTGCGAGTCACATTAAAGTCCAAACCTCAGTTCTGTTGGACAGTTAAAATGTTTGACAGTTTAAAAGCAGTTAACAAGCAGTTAGGTGCATGGACTATTTCAGATTACTATGCTCTTGGGTCCCACTGGGGAAAAAAACCCCCCAGTAATTTCAGTGCCTTTCTCTCCCTGCTGCCTCTCAGCCACCCACTCATTATGCTCTTGAAACAGATCCTCATGTTCACTATCATAGCCATTAACTGTTGCATGCCTTAGGAAGCTAAACTTGCAACTTGTTCTCTTTGGTGGTGTTTCATGTGACTGACTATAAACATACAGTAAGACCCTTGGTGAACCCTAAAACACATTTCTATTAACATGTTACAAACTTGGCCTTCTGGTTGCAGAGTAAGCAAATAGCAAGCTTAATAAATGACTTCCAAACAAATAGAAAATCACTGGGGATTCAAGAAAAATTTGCAGACACACAAAGGTCAAAAAGCATATTTTGTGTCTTGTCCACCTGTTTCATTTGGGAGTATTTTGTGGCTGGGAATGCTTTTTAAACCCACATTGGTCTTTCACCTTTTCTGTATCAGTTACACGTGAGAACAATATGCAGCTTGTCTGATACCATCAATCCTTCCTGGCACGTAAAGACTTGTGTTTCATTTAGTGGTTTGAGTATCCAATTAAGCTTCGGTCAGGCCAAAAGCTAAACGCTCAAGATGAGTATAGTGAACCTTTCTTTACTCTTTTCAGGCCAAAGTACATTCCTCCATCCATCATTGCTGTTTGGGACAGCAACGGTCTGTCAGTCAGTCCACCACTTTGGTCCAGACTAAAATATTTTAACCAATACTGGATAAATTTCCATGAAATTTGATGCAAATATTCATGTCCCTGTCAGCTAGCCCTATCATCTGCAAAATACTTATTATGGCCAAATAACAGCAGTCAAAGAAGTACTCATATTGGTTACTTAAGTAAAAGCAGCAAACCACAGTGTAAATGTGATGCAATTGTATTGCTTTGATGCAATACAATAAAATACAGTGTTACTCTGTTACTGTTACAAGTAAAAATCCAGCATTCAAAATGTTACCTAAGTAAAAGTACAAAAATATTAGCATCAAAATATACTTAAAGTACCAAAAGTAAAAGTACTCATTATGCAGAGTGTCACATTTCACAATTAATGTGTATCATTATAAAATGCAGTGGAGTAAAAAGTATAATATTGGCCTCTAAAGTTGAAGTATAAGGTAGCAGAAAATGAAAATACTCAAGTAAATACCTTGTAATACCTCAAAATTGTTCTTAAGTACAGTAGGCATACTTTAATGAATGTACTTAGTTACTTCCCTCCAGCCCCAAATAGCAGATACTATGCACATCAGCCTCATTTGGGGCCTCATTTATAATTGGGCGTTCAGACTGAGTGCGGAAAAAGCAACTCCCTGCTGTGTTTGTATGTATGTATAAGGCTGCATTGGTCAGGGGTGTGAAGGATTGTAGTGGGGTTGTTGTACAATATGGCCACATTGTGAACAGTCGACGTGAGTAGCTTCATTCCTGTTTCCAGCCCATGAGTCTGTTGTATTTTGGTTAGCCATGCTGCTAATGTAGCCTACTCTACTTTAGCACCAATTTCTACCACCACTGGGTTGCTGTCTAACGTCCAGTCCCCTAACTAAAGAAAACACATGGTGTGCCATTATGGTGCGTTAACGGTGGCCCAAATTTTAGAGTGAACGGGGCAGCATGGTGGCGCAGTGGTTTTAGCCCCGGCTAACCCCATCGGTGCAGAGTTGGCATGTTCTCCCTGTGTGCCTGTGTGGGTTCTCTCCAGGTACTCTGGCTTCCTCTCACAGTCTAAAGACGTGCTCCTTGGATTGAGTGTAGGTGTGTGTGGTTGTCTGTCTCTAAGTGATATACTGGCAACCTGTCCAGCGTGTACCCCGCCTGTTGCCCAATGTCAGCTGGGATTGGCTTTGATTTGCAAACTGAAGAATGCTCGCCACTTGTTTTGTGCACTTTCAAAACTTTTAGACTTTCACACAAAGCCGAGTGGAGAAATCTGAGGGTGCAGAATCAGAAATGAGAGCACGCACAGCCTGGATTACGCTCTTGAATCTGTATTTGCATTTACAAACACTATGCCTGTGCCTTCACAAATGTTGAGTTGCAAAGTGCACAGTGCTCGAAATGTGGTTAGAGTGCCCTCAAACCCTGTGGCGAGGATTTACTTCCATAGGCAGACACACCAGAGCGCAAGTATAAATGCTCACAACGGCATAGGCCACCTGTATAGCCTATGGTATAGGCTCTGTGTAGATTCAACAATGAGGCATAAATCAAGCTTTAGTAGCAGTCTGTCGATTCACTAACCCTGACCAGATTATTTGAGTCTGTGCATTTGCAGAACCGCTTAAATGCACACCTCCACAGAACACCCAGTGGAGACGGAGGCAATGAGACTCAACCTTCTGACTGGTATTTGTTGAGCATATAAAGGCTATAGACAAATCCATACGTATTTAAATACACATATGAAATCGAATTAAAATTGTAACTGGCCAAATATTCACAGACTGTTAGAAATCTGCCGACGCTTTGCTTTCCAGGTTTATAAAGAAATGTGATGCCATTTGATGATTATGTGATTGTGAAAATCACATGGCCTGACCCTCTCTTCTGAGTTCTGAGGATTTGGGAATGGTCTAATCAACCACTGCCAGACAATTAATTAATGACAGTTTAATAACAAATCAGATGTAAATGGATCTGGATTGGCCTGTATCTTTAACACAAAGATGTACTTATGGACTAAATCATCCAGAAGTAAAAACACTGACAACTATGACATCGGAGCCACACATGGGTTCCCAACACTTTGCTAAACATTCAAGCAGGAACACAATGTGCAGAACGATAGCCAGACTCATTCATGTGGCTGCATCTTTCAAACAAAATACAAGTGATCGAAAAGGATGGAGAAGTTTTGGTGACATACCAACCAGCAAAGAACTCACTCAAGCCAAAGCTGTCATCATCCGAACTGTCCAGCAAGAAACTTATAAAGAGTCCTTCAAAAATCTTAAAGAAGGAAAACAGACGAACAGGAAACATGACACACTAAAAAAAGCTCAATCCAGTTGTGGACAAAGATGGCCTTCTACGAGTCGGTGGCCGTCTTTCTTCTGCTGATCTCTCGGAGAACGATGAGCATCCTTTGATCATTCCAGCTGCTAGTCACATCGCCACATTGCTGGTGAGATGGGTCCATGAACAAGTGGCTCATCAAGGATGGCACATCACTGAAGGAGCTGTC